ACAATAGTCTAGTCCCCCACCAAAACAAACGAATAAACCAACCAACCATGATTCTCTTACAGCATCAGCATACATTAAAATTTTCTTCGCCCCACATGAAAAAAAACTACACATAACATAGTAAAATACATCATCATCATCAAGAGTCGGTCCACGCAGAAAACAGAGGCACCTGAGGCCTCACGTGGCCCGACGGCATCCAATTGGGCCCCGCTTCGCTGCCCGACGGGCAAGGAAAGAATTTCGATGCAAGCGGCCCGGGCAGCCCAAACTGCATCTGAACTGGGCCGCCAACATTCCTATCCGGGCTTCCCTCCCTAGAGCTGCTCAGACTCGTCACAAGGGAAGAGTTAGTGGACACTTGGCCAGTCATCTTCCCGGGCCCACACAGCTCCTGCTGGCCCGGCCCAAAGACATCAAGCCCGAAGTTCCCCTGTTTCTCATGGGCCGAGCCGTAGAGGGCCATAGTCCAATCAGACGAGTTGGGGACTTCCTTCATTTGATCCATCTCGGGATTGTTAGGGAAATTGTTGCCGAGGGAATTGTTTGGGCCGCACGGGATAATTGGGCCTTTTGTCCTTCGGGCCATCTCGCCCGAGAGAAGCCCGTTACTCTCCATGATGCGCTCCACGTCATAACGTGATATGTCGAAATTGGTAACGGCATTTGCGCCTCTGAATTTGATGGCCGCCACGTCATATGCCTCGGCTGCTTCCTCTTGAGTGCCTGAGATCATTTTTGGGAGAAATTATATGACATGTTTTTTTAAAGATAAAAAAAATAGTTTTTTTATACAGAAATTTAAGACAAGACTACTCACTGAATGTGCCGAGGTAAAGATCCTTATTTCCGGCCACACGGCCAATACGGGCTTGCCAGCGGCCATGTTGATGATGTCTGCTAAAGAACAATACACAAAACTAACTCAAAGCCATTCAAATGAAACTGTATTTAGGTGAAAATTAACAATTTTACTTTTAATTATTTTATTATAGAAAAGCATGCAGTATATTGAGACCTTGTGACTCCTCTGTAAATTGAAGCTCCCCTAGAGAACCCACTGCTCTTCCTGTAGTAAAGAATCAGGAGAAATGGTAAGAAAACAAATTAATTAGCAGAAATTTTCAGAATTAAAAGATTTAAAAAAAAAAAAAAGAATGACTAGCGATAGTAAAAAATACAAAGTTGTACCTTCTGAGATGAGCAACATATTCTTGTCTGCTCATGTTCTTCATATCTTCAAGTTCTTGTTGATAATTTTCGAGCTGTGTTTAAAGTTGACATGATGATTAACACTTCCAAATGTAGTAAAACATGAAACGATTTGATAAGTGAATAAAACGACAACTAAAAAACCACATACCGGAAAATTAATATGAGTGGAAGGTCCCCAATATTTGAGTGCTGCACAGTCGTATGCCCTTGCTGCCTTTTCCTCCATGTCATAACCCCCTAACGTTTTTAAATATTGCACAATTATTTCGGTCCACATTTAGCAAAATCTTGTTATACTTAATTAATCAACTCAAAAAGTACTTTATTAAGAACGTAAACAGAATCCAAACAAAAGAGTTTTTTTTTTTTACCTAGGTAAACTGCAAAAGGTGCCCATTTCATTTATGTCAGCCCACAGCAACGACCAAAGATCAAGAAAAGGAATAACATGTACNAATAATAATGAGATGAGATTGAATAATTATGATACCTTGCCTTCCCTTTCTGCTTTGACCTTCTTTCTTGCAACTGTTGTCCCATAGATGTGCCTCGTATCTCCCTGTCCACCTGTGCCTGCTTAATCCCATTCATATATTAATAATTAAAGAATTAAAAAAGCAATTAATTTAAGTAATTAATTAATTAATTAATTACCTGGTAACACCTCTATACTGAGAAGTCCTCTGGCCGAAAGTGTCAATGGACTTTCGGTGAACAATCTGTTTCTGGTCAACCTTCTCCGGTCCCCTCTTCTTATTCTCCAAACCCATGCAGTCAACAACCGCCGGTTGGACCACGTGGCTCTGTGAACCGGTCACGCAACTCGACTGTGAACCGGGACTCATAGACAAGCTCAGCGACTGCAGGTCTCCGTACCCGCCCACCGCCACGTTATCGCCGCCGCCGCCGCCGCTCGGGTAGTTCTCGGCGGCAGCCCATCCCTTCACCTCGCCCGCCGCCGGCGGCGGCGGGTGGAGGCCGCCGCGATCCTTGGGCGCCGCCTCGTCCGCCGGCGTCTGGTGGTGGTACATCGCCGGAAAGTTGGGGTAGTCGGCGGCGACCTGGTGTTGGTGGTGGTAGTACATGCTGTCGAGGCTGAGGGCCATGGCCCGGTCGCAGCCCTCGTACTGTCCGTGGGCCCCACCGAAGAAATCCTCGAGCTTCGGTACCCCTTCACAGTTTTGATATTATAAAAATGAACCAAAGTTACCACAGTGAAAAACATGAGTAAAAAAAATATGAAAGGGTAAATTAATTTTTTACCATGAGGCTGGGATCTGTTGATGGCTTCCATCAAGCAGAGGGAGCCGTCGGATTTGAGGGGCATAACGGTCAGATTGGAGTAGAATGCAGCGGCATTCTCGCCGTCGACGCCGTAGTAGATTCCCTGAGGGTAGGTGAAACCGGCGGAGTAATTCAAAGGGACGGCGTTAGAGACGGCGGCGGAGGAGATAGGGGCCTGGTGCTGATCGGCTGAGCCGCCGCCGTCCATGGTGGTCGGAGCAGAAAGAGAAAACCCCAACCAGTTGTTGTTGTTAGTTTCACTGTTTATCGGCTTCATGGTTTTTAGCTACGTTTTCTCTTTTTCTTTTTTCTTCTCTGATGAAATGAGATGAGCTTTCTTTATATAAAAAGGAGGGAGAGAGAGAGAGATTTGTGGGAATTGTTTTGTTTTATTTTTATTTTTTGGGGGGTATTTGTTGGTCAATCATTGGAAACAAATAAACTAATAATCATCTCCTATATTTGAAACGACTGTGGGGTTTTATTTGTTATTTCTTTTTGGGGTTTTATTAATTTGGATATTTTGTTTTGTAGCTGCAGGGCTTTAAGTAGGAGAATGAAATCTAAGCCCAAAATCTGGCGCTTTATATCATACCCTCTTGCTGGATATACAAATCAATGGTCTATTTCTTTTTTGCTTTTTTTGTTTTTTGTTTTTTATTTATTTAATTTTTCCTCTCTCTCTTAAAAGATTTGTAAAGAGAAGAAAGCAAAGCCCTTTAAACTAAACAAAAAGAATGAGTTCCAGCAAGCAATGCTGGGTATCCTCACTGCATTCCATTGGGATCTGCGCTTGAGAAAGACATTATTTTCTTTTTATTTTCCATTTTTTTTTTTTTTTTCGTTTC